TCTTGATCCCTTAATTCTTTTTATTTTTATTTTCATTTCAACCTTGGATCCTCCATCACTTCCCGCGCATCACTGACTGGGCGGGTGTGAATGAGTACACTGAGAACATGCCTCGTGCCTGTGCTTTTATTCCATTGAGAGAGAACCAGAAGGCTGAGCCATTCAGATTCTACCTTAATCGTTTGGTTGCTAAGGACATGTACTTCAACAGTTATGTGGATCACCATCAGACGTGATCATTTGATGACATATTGCTATACTCCGGATGGATGAACTGTTGATCGTGTATTCTTGCTCCTCTTCTGCCCGAGCGCATCATTTGGTAGTTCGGGTACACCCAGACCATCCCTAGAGACCATGTTGTCTTTGCTCCTCCTGCCTTGTCGTATATAGATAGAGCAGGTGTTTGTTGATTATGAGAGTCACTTGGTACCAGAGGAGGCTCGGGCTGCCATAACGCCGAACGACTAGATCTACATCGACGAATACATTAGGTGGTTCTTCAGGGTCTCACATTTGTACATGGTGTAGACTACTCCAAGAGATCCACCGAGACCAGCTCATCAGGGGATCCTAGAGGAGCAACATGCTCAACTAGATCATACTGAGGATGTCTTACCTCCGTGTCGTTCCATAGTGGAGATTGCACGGGCATACATTGACGAGGGTATCTTCCTTGAGGGGACTGCTGTCAGGCGAGTCCTGGATGCCATGGTGGCGAAGGCATAGGGGGAACTTTGTACCATAGACATCATCGGAGGACCGGGGGAGGGGGGCGAGGGGAGGGGGTTGATGGCTGAGGAGGCAGAGCAGATAGATAAGGTATGTGAGAGGTTGTCATGCACACTTAATAGGTGTCTATTATTATTTTTGTTGTAGTACCATGGTTTATACTTTATTTCTTACATTGTTACTATATTTTGGATCCCGTTCTGTACAACATTTTTTCTATTATATTGTTATATTATTTTTGACATACCCAGTATTAGTCTCTTATTATTTTGTATGTCCAGTCTTTTATTCGAGATCGTGCTTCATACTTCATCTGAAAATAAATACACAACTTATAGTAAAAAAATACATGTCCTGATACATTCCGGAGATGTATCTCCGAAATATTCACGAAGATGCATCTCCAAAACAATTCAAATGTAAATGGTGTATGAGTGACATGTTTTCAATGTTTAAAATATTTTCGAAGATGTATCTCCGAAATATGTCAACATTTATTCAAAAATAGGGCGGTCCGAAGATGTATCTCTGAATTCAAGGAGCATATGTGAAAATTTACATGGTGTGTTAGAAGTATAAATGGTGCAATAAGAAACTCTCAATAATTATCAGTTTTTCTTACTTGACTATTTTCTTTTATATAAATAATTAAACTTTTACAATTTTCTTTTTTTTTCTTCATTTCTCTTTCAATTATCTATTTCAATTTATCGGATTAAAACAGAGAATTGCTCTTTCTATTTTTTTGGGTGCGCCTAACACAATTGAAATCTGAAAAATGTATTTTTTTTTTATGTTTGGAGATGCGTCTCCGGATGCATCTAAAATCACATCAGGCCTTCATTATTTCTGATAGGCACCCCATTTTGAACAAAGTTGGTGCAAAGATGCATCTCTGAATATTATTCAGGGTGTATCCGGATATGTACCTCTGTATGACTCCATGTACTCATTTATGGAATTTTTATTCACAGAGCTTTTTTTATTTAGCGACTTAGTGATATTTTCAAAAATGCATCTCCGAAAATGTCAAGCGGGAAATTGGATAAAACACCACCTTGCATGTTCTTGTTCCTCTTGATCAAAAGTAATTTCTCCTTCAAAACCCTTAAAAAGATTTCTTCCATTTTCAATTAACTTTTCAACACCAAAACACCAGTGTATTTTATCACATCAAATGGAGCAAAAGAAGACAAAATTTAAGGTAAGTTTCATTCATTTCATCTCTTATTCATTGCATTAATGTGTTTTTTGAGCTGAAAATATGAACGTTGAGTCCGAAGATCCATATCCAGATTAAGTTTCATGTGTTCAGGAAATGACTCTCTGGATTTGCCTAATACTTTAAATTTTGAATATGTTTTTCTACTATGATTGATGTTAGATATGGTGCACTTAGATATGTTTTCCAAAACTACTGTGAGGATGATGTTAAACCGATTGATTTCAAACCGGGTGCTAGACCGATTATTGTCAAGGTAGAAGCACACAAACAATTTACAAATAAACAAGAGTTTATTGTTCGTGAACATGTGCTACAATGTATGCATGGAGGTCAATAAATTGGAGTTTGGTGTTGTAATCGAAATGTCTGATAACGGTTCTGATATAAGACAAATATTTTTAATAATGTGATGCTCAATAAGTGACATGTACCAACCAACATTAAGGAAGTTGAAACATGATGACACCGGGTCGAGAAAATGTGAGTGTCTGTTTAAATTTTGTGGATACCGTAAGACAAATGATACATGAAAATTTAATGTGGTTTCGGGTATACATAACCATTCCTTGAGTGACAAGTTATTCGGTCATCCCATTGTATGTCACCTTATTCCAAAAGAGAAGAAACTTGTTTTGGACATGACATTAAACATGACGGCGCCGAAAAACATACTTGCATCTTATAAACGGAAAAAGACATCAAAATGTTTCAAATATCAAACAAGTCTACAATGTGTGTGCCCTAAACAACACGATAATTAGAGGTCCAAGATCTAAAATGCAACAATTTTTGAAGCTTTTGGAGGATGATTATTATGTTTCTAGGTACATAGCTTGTGAGGATAAAGTCATAGTTTAAGATATATTTTTGACTCATCCTAATTCCATCAAGTTGTTCAACATATTTACCACCATGCTCATAATTGATTCAACATAAAAAAAAAAAACAAGTATAGATTTTCACCCCTGGAAATTGTTGGTGTTACTTTTACGGAGATGACTATTTCAGTTGGTTTTTCTTTTATGGAATGCAAAAAAGAGGACAATGTTACATGTTCTTTGCAAATGTGCAAGACTCTATTGAAGGATCAAGAAAACATGCCAAATGTAATTGACACCAATCGCAACACCACATTGATGAATTCGGTTGCAACCGTGTTTCCTACATTGTATGCATTACTTTATAAGTATCACATACAAAACATATGAGAAGTTAACTAAAACACGCGGTAGGCACTAAACAAATAAAGGGTAAAGATGGAAAAATGGTCAAACTGGAAAAGATAATGGATGCATGGAATTGAATGATAAATTCTTCCACGAAAGAGTTATATGTTGAATCTGTAATACATTTTAGGACATTATGTACGGTGAAAGAGATTATTGTTTGTGCCTGAACCGATCAGGTTATACACATTGGCAATACAACAACTAACGGAGCTAACTCAGCACATGTTACACTATAGAATTTGTTGGAAAATAGTAAAGGTGATTTTTGTCGAGATTGGGATGACGTAAACCAAATGCTTCGAAACTAATATAATGAGATATAAACATCTTTTGGTAGGAGCATTAATGTGTTAGAACACTGATTCAAAGACAACATCCTTTATTAATAGTTGATTGGTAACATATCTCGAGCGGGATTGAAATTTATTTTTTACGAAACCAAACAAGCAGATAAAACAGGTTCAAATAACTTAAAGTGTGTTTGTACACTTAAGAAGATGTACGGTCTTCCATGTGATTGTGTAATTGTAAAGAAAATGAAGCTTGATAAATCGATACGTATGGATGAAGTTTACACTCACTGAAAAATGATTTGGTTTGATGATGATGGTGTGATGAAGGATGATAAAACAAGTATAAATATTATGACCGAATGAGAAGTAATCCAAGAGAGATTCTTGAAAATTGATGACATCATGAAATTGCACATAAATAGCAGTCGAGGAAGATTACCTATCTAGAAACAATGGATTTGAGACCACTGTCAGAACCGGTTAAAACAAAGGATGCTCCTTAAAAAGGTCAAACTGACACATAATGACAACTCTACGATACGGTCTCCTTCATACTTTAAACATGTCGACTCACATTTTCCGGTTTTTCCAACTTTAAAATCTCAAATAAGTGTTTTTAATGGTGCTCGAATTAGCCAACCATCTTCTTTACCACCGTTATCAAAAATCATCTTCACTAAAGAGATGCCACTTTTTATGCACAAATATATTGAATATATTGTAAATGTTAAAAGTGATGACAATTATGAAAAAACTTCAGAGCAAGCATAATTTTTTTTATTACTTGATTGTGGCTTCTTAATCCTCTTCTTCTCATCCCTTATAGTGTAGAATTAGGGTTTTGTGAGTGTGTGAGGATTGAGTGAAATCATGTGATTATGTTAGGATTAGGAAATTGTGTAAATTGAGTGGTGAAAATGTGAGCAAAAACCTTGTGAAACCATGTGAGGGTGAGTGAAATTGTAAAAGTTTTGTAGTAAGTTTGTTGTACGTGACTTGCTGCCAAATGCATGGGCATGTGTATGCATGAATGATGTAATAATGAAATAATTCCCTTTTGTAAACTTTTGTCTTTTATGAAAATTTGTTGACTCTTACATTGACTTTGTATGATGTATGGCATGATGACATGATAATTGGCATGAATGATGTAATATGAATGAGATATTCTCATGCTTTTGGAAGTTTTGTTTTTGGTGTAAAATGTATATTCTGTACTAATTTGGTAAAAAAGAAATATGACATGTAATATTAATGTGATGCAAAAAGAAAAAAATGAAAATAAGAAAAAAAAATAGAAAATGACAAGTCAATGATAAATGTAATTAGTAATAAAAATATGAAAAATGGAATGGTTAAGTGTAAGATGTGAAGACATGAGGAACTTTTTTTAATTAGTTAATAAATGCAAAATGCTAATGGCGTAAAGTTATCAGAAATCATCAAATCGATGTTCACAATGGCGCAAAGTTATATTACAATATCTTTTTCACCAATTCTAACCAAATATTAAGGATCATTTCATTTGCGGAGAAATAACTTGAACCACAAGGCAGACCTTTTCCGGTACCTTCGCAGTCCGTTCTTGTAATCTACATACACGAGTCCAAACCGGAGCGTGTAGCCGGAATTCCATTCAAAATTATCCAACAACGACCACGCAAAGTATCCCTTCACCCTCACGCCATTCCTACCAAATTCAAAGTTTCAATTGTTGAGTCCAAAACAAAATCAAAGATTATCAGTGCAATCTTGTCTGTCGCATATCATAGACGATAACGGGTTGTTATACAAAATTTTCGTTTTAAACTCACATTACGGCCTTTTGAAGAAACAATAGATGGTGACTAATATAGTCTATCCTCGCTATATCATTAAGTGACCTTTTTCCATCATCAACCTCGTCAATTCCTGCAAATGTTTGAACGATTTGATTCAAATGATCGAAACATTAGTATTGTAACACGGCAAAAATGCAGCGTTAAGGAAAAACGAGATGATTTGAGTTAATCTTACCATTTTCTGTTATGTAAATAATTGGATTGTTGAATTTCTCCTTCGTGTATTGTAGTAGTCCTTGAATTCCCGGTGGATAGACGTAGAGCCAATCCGAAGCAGCCTGCAAATATTACTAACTTCTTAACTCCTTTCCGAAAAAGTCTCAGAGGAAGGAAGTATCACGAGAACGATAAATGATTCAGCTCGTCGAAAGTGAGTTAATCATTTCGATGAGTAAAGTAAGGATCTTAGTTGTTGATGAAAGAATCATTTTCGTCAACATCTGAGATATCTTACTTTGCTCGATAATTCTCTGAAGTGAGAATACATTTTATTATAGAAATAGCTTATAGTCCAAGTAAAATTTAACAACTTATTTCCATTTGCAAATACCTTTGGACCGATGAGAAGTCCGTTTCTTACACCTGATGTAAGTGAAGGAAAAAAAGCGTGATAAGTATCAAAATTACGAAGAAACTTCAATCAAGAGTTAAACAAGTTTTATATAGAATTACTTACTAGTAAATCTAACACAACTGTCGGTAAAAACCGACGGCTTTCCACCCTGGCAAGGTATATCGGTTGCATAAGTTGAAGTGTAATAGTTTAAACCTACGAAATCGAAGGATCCTTTGACCATTAAGGATTGACTTCTCGAAAACCTCGGCAAACGTTCCTTGACTTTGTTAACTATTGTAGCAGGATATGTACCAGAATTCAAGGGTTCCATGAACCTTGAAAAAAACACAATGATTAGTATGAATTTGTTAGCGGCAGAGATCAGATCAAACGCTAGACCTTGTTAGCGGGAAAGATAAAGAGACTTACCATCCATACATAAAATCAAGACCGCGAGATGCTGCATCTCTGTCCGCTTTTGATTGGGATAGTGGCACAAGCCATGCAGAATTTAGTGTTACTCCGATTTGACCCTTCTGAGTATTCTGTGATCGAATCATTCGCATTTATGACATTTTTATAAGCTCTTCAGGATAGCTTATGAAAATAACTTATAGCTTATATAAAAACGGTTTGCATTTATTTTATCTTGTTATAAAATGAAACTATGCAACAACCTGAAACTTCGCCCTATAGACTTTCACGGCTGCGGCATGAGCGAGAATGAGGTGGTGTGTAACTACATACGGCTCGGTACTAGAATCGCCGGCATTGCAGTTAGCTACCCATTTAGAGCACCTTGAGGGTGGGGATCCTCCATTTCCATATCCTCCGGTGCTATAAAGCAATGGCTCATTCAATGTAATCCAATGCTTCACTCTGTCGCCAAATTCTCTAAAGCATACTTCGGCATAATCTGCGAAATCTTGCCTGATTACAAAACAAAAATGTCAATTTTCCGATATTCGGGAGAGATCAGGAAGACGAGAAGTCATAGCAACGCGTTCTCTAACATCTCTTTCTAACACAATTGATTATTGGTTGAAATTCACGTAGATCCCACTAATTTATGCAGGTTTAGTGGGATCCAGGTGAAAATTTCAACCAATTATAGAAAGAGTGCTTGAAATAGAGTCTCGGAGAATGTATTGCTAGAAAAGGTTTATAAACTTATAAAGCCGCTATTGCTTACTCGATTTTGGGACTCAAAAAACCACCATATTCATCTTCAAGAGCTTGAGGAAGATCAGAGTGAAATAGAGTTATAAAAGGCTTTTGTCCTACAAGCAAAAAGTTACATCAAAATCATATTTAGTTTATTTTGAAATATCATCATCAAAAGAAAAAAAGAGTAATAGAAAACGAGAATCGAGTTTTATACCGACCATTTGTTATCAGTTCATTTATGAGATTGTTGTAATATATGACGCCTTCTTGGTTAATTCCTCCCTTTAGATTTCCACCTAAAAAACAATAAACATTCGACCTTAATTTCATTATGAAACAACACCAATACCAATGATCAACTTAAGTTTCAAAACTTAATAGTTTTTCGAGAATTCGAGGATACGAAAAAGATGATCGGAAAGTTACTTACGAGGAAGTATTCTAGACCACGCGATGGAAAACCTGTAGGCGTTAAATCCGATATCCTTCATCATGGCCACATCTTCCTGGTTTTTTTGCATTCAGGTTAAAGTTACGAACAATATCATCCATTTCGATCGATTCAAATAGCAATATTAGAAAAATTCATCTATATCTTTAAACTAAAGTTAAGAGAATGAAAGTACCTTGTAGCGGTGGTATGAATCAACGGCAACATCCCCATTACTGCGGTCTGCGATTCTATCTGAAGAACCGTCAAAACATCACAATATATCCAAATCAGTTCTATCAAAACTTTAAGCACAATCGCATACACCGATTTTGAATGAACTTATTCCAGTTTAAAGTGAGTTGAATGTAATCTGTTCTATATAGCACTAATGACTCAATGTTTGAAACCGACACCGACACTTATGATTACGTTTAATTTATTCATTTTATCAAATTATTACCGATGTCAACGTTTCGTAGAAACAAAAAAGGGAAACAAAATACACAAACCTGGGTGGCTATGAGTGAACGTGTCCCATATGCTTGGTCCTTTGCCACCTTCATGAGCAGCACCTTCATACTTCAAACAACAAACAACAAAAACACAAATAAGATCTAACCAACACTTTACATAGACAGATGCAAAGACAAAAACAAACAACATAGTACAGAACAAAAACCTGGTAAGCTGAAGAGGCTGTTCCAAACAGGAAATCAGATGGAAAACTACTACGGTTAAGAGAAACTGCTGAGTTATAAAGGGAAAATGCGATTGTTGCAAAGAGAAGAACAACAACGTTAAGCCACATTGTTCAAAACTTGGTTTTGGTTTTTCTAAAATTTTCAACCATTAAAGGGTTTTAGTAAAGGTTGATTCTTTGTCTTTTAGTAAGTGAAGAAAAAAAAGAAACAAAGGAAAAGGACTAGTTTTTATTATTTTATTGCTTTTGTTGGAAGTTGAAAAGATGCTATATGGCTATTGATAAAGATTATTAAGAAAAAGGTTCTATGCTTAAATGAGTTAAAATATGGGTTAACTTTGCTTATTTGTACTACCATTGGAATTAGTTTGAGAAGATCTAAAAATATGGGTTACTAACTTTTTTTGGGAAGTTAGGAGAACTTTTTAAGGGGGGAGTTTTAATTGCAAAGTTATTCTTTATGAATATTTTGGGTGTAATCAGTTCGGGTTCGATTGATTTTTGGTTAAGAAATTGTTTGAATCGATATTATCATCAGATTAATTTAATTTGGTTTTTAGTATTTTTTAAAAATAGAATAAAACTAAACTAATCGATTTGTTTTTTAGTGTTTAAAAGTAGAATCAAACCAAACTAAACCAACTAATTTGATTCGATTTAATTTGGTTTAGTTGATCGGTTTATAATATTTTTTAAATATTATATTGATTTGTATATTCTATACTATCATGTTTTTTAATGTAATTTTATGCGATTATTTTTTCAAATAATGCATTTCTTATCATATATTTAATGCTTTATTTTTCAAACAACTTACAAGTTGTTCTTAATTCATACGAAACATTACCATGATTTTCATTGTATCATGAAATAAATTCATTGTCGAATATAAAAGTCGACACTTGCATGTGAAAGTAGGGAAGGGATTTGAAAGCATTACAAATAAAACACAACAATAAAAACAAAAATGTTTCAATACACATAATTAACATGTTTCACATCTCTAACACACATCAAAACTATTTTGTAACAAGATTAGAAGAAAATTCGTTGAAAAACAAAAAACAAAAAAGGTAAGAAAAAAATAGATGAAAACTAACAAAGAGAACTAGAACACAAATAAGGCAATTGTTGGACTTTCCGCCTTAATTGCGGGACTTTGGTTTGCCTTATTGCAGCCCCTAACAACTTCATAGTGTTAGCTTTGAAGGAATGGATTTAGTCTCAATTGTTTAGAGATATGACATGTGTTGTGTTTATAAATGAGGACAATCTTCACCTTACAAGTCGGTTTTGTAAGGATCAGTTAGGCTCAACCCAAATTCTGATATGGTATTAGAACCTATTCGATATCCATTGTTGGGCTTCCCCCATCGTCCATTGGCTCATTGAGACTCAATCGTTAAGGGGTGTGTTGGACTTTCCGCCTTAATTGCGGTCCACCCCTAGTCGCCTTAATTGGGCACTTTGGTTTGCCTCATTACAGTCCCTAACACCTTCATTGTGTTAACTTTTAAGGAATGAATTTAGTTCCATATTGCTTAGAGATATGACATTTGTTGTGTTTATAAATGGGAGCAACCTTCACCTTACAAAGCAATTTTGTAGGGATGAGTTAGGCCCAACCCAAATTCTGAGAGCAATCATAACCTATAAGAAAGAACTTGACGAGAGAAAGAGTGGTGGTGGGTAGCCAGAGCAACAGTTTGGTGAGAACATGTTTTGTTGAAAGGAAGGAAGTGTAAACAAACATGGAGAAGATGACTGATACATAATTTGGGTATAATAATGGGATAAATAAAAGATTAAGTAGATATTTATAGTTATCGGTTTGGTTCATCGATTTATCAATTTTTAAAAACTAAAATCGAGAACCAAACTAAAAATAATCAGTTTCTTTCGATTTAATTTAGTTTGATTTATCGGTTTAATTGATTTTTTTTCTAATATACTTACACCCCAATGAATATATATATTATATATATATATATATATATATATATATATATATATATATATATATATATATATATATATATATATATATATATATATATATATATATATATATATATATATATATATATATATATAATTGATCTCTGCTTAACTAAACAAGGACAGAACAAGAGCATTCTGATTTCTCTAAGTCATAACAGATGTTTCAACATTTGTTAAGTCATAAATTTTAGCGCAAGAGAATAAACTGCAATATACATAGCAGAATGATAAATAACACCAAGATATGATGACCCAGCTCGGTGTACAACAACACTTACATCTGGGGGCTACCAAGTCAGGAATGAATCCACTATCTGTAGTATTAATTCAGAGCTAAACAACATCTGGTTTACAACTCCTCACTTAATCTCTACCCAGTGCAACTTCTACCTAAAAACCCATCTAGATAAGAGAAACGCATCTCAATTCCTAAATCACATCAGTGATATCTAACAGTCACAACCTCCGGTGAATGTATCAAACTCTTGACTAACACTAATACTTGAATTTTATTAATAGCTTCATCCAAGAACAATATACAGTTCATTACCTACAGGTTTCTAAATATGTAAAACTATGTCTACCATAATGTATCAAATCTAATACAAAGGGTGATTTGTAAAACAAGAAAATCACATGACTCTCAAAACCCTAAAACCTTATTTTTACTTTACAAAAGTCTTAACAACGAATCGTTATTTGCTCTGGATCTTGGTCTTTCTTTTATAATTTGCAACAGTCTGTGGGCTTCGAAATCTCTGTCCAACCATTCCTTGACCCATGTTCTGATTGCACCTTAAATCTTGGAGTAGATCTGCAACAAACCTGCTATATCAGACCAAGATGTCGAGTTCTCAAGATAAGACATCTTGTTTTACATGTTGTTCTTTACAGATTTCTTCATGTTAGAACATCTTGTTCAACATCATGTTTTACTAAAATTTGGTCAAATCTTAGAGCCTTCAATCTCCCCATTTTGACAAATTTTGGCTAAAACTCCTTTTGCACAATAAATCCAGGAAATAAGGAGTAGAAGGAGTAGAAAGTCTTGAAGTCATTTCATCCGGCCTATGGCGTGTATAGCAGAACATAATGTGACTCCTAGAAGCTTTCATTCTTCTTGTACTGCATACACCACCTGTTGTACGACGTGTACCCTGAACCCTGATATACACGAGGGAGAAGATACAAGACACTCCCCCTCAAAACCAGTCCCAATTTACCATTCTCTATTATCCAGATCAAGGCTTAAAGGAGCAGACCCCAAATCTGAATAACTTAGAACACAAGACACAAGTGTGTTCATAACTCAGATCACAAGACACACAAAAAAAGACTCAAAATAAAAGGAACTGAGACACAACAGGATGTTAGAGCATCTTATCCAATATCCTTGCAAAACAACTTCAAGAACAGACTCAGACCACAAAATAATATTAGTCATGTGTTGCAAGGAACAACAACCAACTGAGATAGACACACAACCTATCTCCCCCTTTTTTGCCAAAAATTGACAAAGATATCCAACACAGTTCCGTACCCAAATAGTACTCACCCAAACCCGAACAAATGCCATAAAGACTCGACGCAACAAAAGAAATACAACTTGAGACAAAAGAAGCAATGACCCCCTTTAAATACCAGAGAAGTTTTCTTAGGAATTAACGAGCTAATGATATAACCAAAGGACAACTCAATGAAAGAGTAAATTGAGTAAGATAACTTCAGCATAAATGAGTGTGTACCGGCCAACTTAGTTTTGACTGTTTATTTTTTATTGAGAACCGTTCAAACACTATGTATGTACTGAAGAAACATGTCTTGCACGCCCTCTTTAAGGCATGTTTTCCACCGCCCAAGTAACACCATCCACATAGAGCCACAAGTCCTAAACAATATCCTGACACCCAGTCAGTCCTTGTTTACTCTCTCTTGTAAATTTTGAAGCATAGTCACAATGCCTTCCAATGATCTCCAAACATACTTCTTTCAGCCAGAATTAGAATATCTAATCATGATGTTAAGATATTATGTGTGACATCTCCCATTTATCAACAAAAGCTTCCATGGACCTTATCCCAATCTGAAAAAGAAAATAAATTCTCCCAAACAATATCCAATCCTGTTTCTTAGGTCTCTTCTAAGAATAATCAAAATAGTTGAAATAATTCAATAGTCTGAACAAGTCAAGCTCACAAGCAAAACTTGCTAAGCTAAAATGTCAATACACCAAGATATTAAGACATTTAGTCTGACATTACAATCTCACATGAATCACATGAACACCTTAATGCTCATAAGAGAGAAAAAAACAGGATCACAATTCTTGTACCAATAAACTCTTGGATTGAGATCAAATAACACCATTGGTCACCCTCCCCCTGAACACATCCACACACTGCACAAATCCATCTTGAACCTTATAGCCATAGACAACCTTGTTCTTTGAGAAAAAAAATCCAATCAAACCTGGAATGCTTACATCCCCGAAAGAGACATATAAATTTTCTTAACTCTTGGTTAGCCATATTATCATCCATACTTAGAAGACATCAAACCCCTTCACCATATGAAGAGAGGTACATCCTCATCCTGTTTCCTTCTCAAGATTTAATATGATACAATCTTTTCTAGAGATACTTCTTGCAGAACCTACCATCTACTCACAGATAATCAGAATCCACATAGTTTTGATCATACTCCACAATGAATAGATAATTCTCTTCTGATTCAACTGGTGAGTAACAAACTCTACACCATGAACTCCAAATTATCTCCCATGGATAAACAACTTTCTTTTCTGGTGGGATAATCAACTAATATGATGTTTCAAGCATTAGTTAAGACATCAGCCTCAATCATATGAACTATCTACTTTAGTTCTGGAGTCAACATCCATAGGAATAAGTATTTGCAAGGAAATCCATACACTTCCCTTTGCAAGGAACACATGAGGACCCCAATAGATCACAGATGCAGTAGCTCATAGACCGTCATAGAAGGCAGAATACCACAGAGAGAAATAAACTCTCACAATCCTCATAAAGCTTCAACTCAGAAGCACAATGTTCAGACATCCTGTCTGACATTACAGAGTCAACACCCAT